GGAGGAGATTTAACCTCTGCTAAGTTACAATTCTCCCATTTCCTTAGGGTGCTAGAGTCTTGGTGGGGGCCACCAGGCACCTTTCCGTGTAGGTGTCCACTGAAATGTGGCTCACCTGCCCTGATCCTCAGTCACCAATGGTCCTTCAGAGCTGGCAGCTGTCCTGGTATTGCCTGGCCTTACAAATATCTCCACCATTTCTCAAGCTCTCTCTGTAGGAACATCCGCAGCCCATCTGCCCACCTGCACCAGGTCAGCATCCCCTGTGGGCATCACACACCCCCGCCAGGGCTCAGCCCAGGAAGCAGGCTTGGTGCCTTCACTCTGCACCTCTGATGCCTTATCTCCCTCCACCTACTCCCTGCCACCCCTGCCCCACCCCCCTGTCTGGAATATTATTTCCAACTCTGGGGAGAAGCCAGATTCTCTTCCTCTATTTTCCCCCAAAGGTTGATCCATACCCAGATCTTCCCCGCCTTCCTAAAAGTTTAGGTTTCTGGAAGCCACACCAGGGCAGAGACTTAGCTCCAGGCTCCTTCTGCCCCTCTCCCTGCCACACCTCTCCCTGCGGCAATGAGCTCAAAGCCAGGAGCACTAATATGGGAGAAATACTAGGGAAAAATAAAAAGAACAGAGGCTAAGACTTCAAAAATACCATCCCTCTCTTAAGAATTAAATAAAATAGTATATGAAAGAACCTGCCATGTTTCAAGGACCTAATAAATGATGATTATTTTTTTCTCATACCTGTTGGACACATTGTCTGCATCACTTGTTTGGAAATTAATCATGTACTACCTTAGAACATCTATTACACTGACAATCTGCTCTTATATTTTTATTTTACTTTCACAGTGTCTATACTTTATTCTCCAACTAAATTCAAGTTTCTGAAGAGCACAGTCCCTATCTTAAATTAACTGAATCTAACAGAAGGCCAAGCTCATAGTAACCACTTTAAAAACAGAAATTCAAAATCATGTTTGCACACATTTAAAGAAGGTTCTTCATGGACCAAATCAGGTTATTTTGTTTCTTAAAATAATTCACAAGCATGTTTATGTCTAAATGCTAACTAACAGGAGCTGTGTGGTTCACACAGACAGCCTAGACATTGAAAAGAAAGAGGTTTGCAATGCATCTATTATTTTATAAAATCCTATATCACAACTGTCCCTGAGTGTAAATACATTTCAAATTTTATGCTGGCCTCCTATTAAAAAATGCTAATTGAATCAATTTCCTGGGGCCTCATCACTAATAAATAGAGTACATCACAGATCTGGAATTCTTGAGTCAAAAACACAGAGCATGAGTGTATTTTGATGAGGAAAATAGCACATAAAAAAATATCTTTGCATCTAAAGAGTCCCCAGGTTTGGCCTTTGAGGCTAAAGCTGCGAGTGAGCAGCTGAGGAGGGGTGGAGGGTGGATCCCAGTGGGCTTGCTCTCAGCCTCACTCTGGACCAGGCTGACCAGCACCACCAGGACACCCAGCTTGCCTTGTGTATGGATAGACAAACTCACACTGTAGGGACACCTTTTACCACTTTCTACAGGTGTGGCCTTAGGCCACTTACTTCCCCTCTCTAAGCCTAACTTTACTCCTCTGTAACTATAGAATGAGTATCTACCTCCCAAAGATTTTATGAAGACTCAATGAGATGATGTATGTTGAGGATGTCACACGGTGCTGGGGACATATTTCATGTCTGGTAAAATGATAGCTGTTGTTGGATCTGCTGCTCCAGGAGAGGAAGAGGGAGGGAAGAGACGACCAACTGGATGCCGGGGAGAGTGGGAGCTCTGCCATTCACACCCAGTCCACACCCTCCTCCTCCGCAGCTCACCAGAGATGTCCCTGTGCTAGGGCAGGGACATGCCAATGGATTGGAGGAGCGCTTTGTCCACGGGGGCTTTGAGGATCTAGATGAGAAGGCTCCAGTTAGCTCCCCGATAGCCATGGGCCATCTGAGGTCATTCCTCAAGGCCAAATCTCTTTAGTTTCCTGTGAACTGAGTACCTCAAAAGAAACTTCTCTTTTCATTTCCAAAGTCTTTGGTGGCAAGTAACAATATTGTGTGTCCAAATGGCTCCAGCCGTGCAGAGGCGAGCGGCTGCCCTAGCTGAGGGTGTCATGAGGAGCAGGGAGGGCTCCACCCAGCGCTCTGCTCAGCCCTGCTGGGACTCTCCTGGTGCTGCCCTCGCCTGTCCGTGCAGTGCCTGTGTTGTACCCAGTCTGCTGGCAAAACGGCTGCAGCAGCCGGCCTTCCTGCTTCACGCAACAGTCTCCAGGGAGAGAGCAAGAGCCGGTTCCAGAAACTTTTGGAAGAGAAAAATGGAAGCTGGTTTTTTTATTATTATTATTGGCACAGGCTTGCAGTCAACTTCTCCTCTCCTGATACTGGCCTAAAATTAGTTTCATAATCATTCCTAGACCAATCCCCGTGGCGTACCAAATGCCAGGTGCAGATTGGCTTCATCCTGGTTCCCAGGTCCTCCCCTGAATCAGTCACGGCGCAATAGAGGTGGGATAACCTAATTAGCTTAAATTAAGCAGCATTTATCCCTGGAGCTCGAGTCAACCCCCCAAACCTCAGGTTGCCTTTGCAAGAGGGAAGGAGTGAGATGGATACTGGAAAGACAAGCACAATTCCCACCCCCTGCTGGCATTCAACTCCTTCTCCTTCAATTCAGCAAGCAATTATAAAACGTCTGCTGTGTGCCAGGCAGGGTGCAGGATGCCGGGGGACAAAAGGAGGCCCAGTGTCGTTGAGAGGAATAAATGAGCTGACTTAGGCCAAGTGCCTGTTGCAGCACTCAGGATTGTCTTCCTTAAAATGAATAATGCATGAGTGATCCATGCCATCCAGGAAAGAGAAACTCAAACCAATAAATTACAGCAGTGTGAGCAGAGAGGCAAGAGTTAGCCCTCGGGCGGCATGAAGGAGAGAGATCACAAGAGGAGTGTGCAAGAGGCCCAAGCGTAAGAAGCTTAGAGCCTGCTGCTTCTTAACCTTGACTTCACATTTGATTCACCTGAGCAGCTTTTAAAACTCACCATACCAATTAGGTCAGAATCCCAGGGGGTAAGACCCAGCACTTGGCGTCATTTTGTCTTTTTAAAGATCTCCAGATGATTAAACTGTGTAGTTAAGGCTGAGAACCACTATTTAAGGCTATTGAGGACATAAAACACACACGTAAACCATCAGCTAGCAACACCAGGTGGTGAGGGGCACATTGAAATGGACCATCAGTGCTCTGAGGCTCGGGGCACTTAGCAGGCCGGGTGGGCAGCGGCTTAGGGAGGGTTTCTGTGAGCGGCAGGGGACAGGGGCTAAGGGTCCTTGAACTGTGATGTTTGCCTATTCTGAGCAATTTGGGGACAGTGTCTCAGTATGAGGAGGAACAGATGTAAACAAAGATATGTGAGCAAACATGGAAGGTGTATTCGTCTGGATCTAATCAGCAGAGAGAAACCACACAGTAATTTGAACAGAAAAATATAAACAATTATGAACTATAACAGGAGATGAGTAACAAAGGGTTAGTAAGAAGTAGAGAGAACTCTAAAGAACATAGGAATAGCATGTATAAGCAGTGTCCACTACCCCAGGGCTGAGATACGGAACCCAAGGGAGAGCCTGTCTGCCCCAAGCAGCGGTGCAGACATTGCTGGCACAGCAGGGCTCACAGAATAGCAGAGAAGTCCTTGAGGTGTCCCTGCTTGGAAATCTGCCCTCCAGGGAGCCAGAGATGCCATTCACAAGGAGGCGTCTCACTGAGCACACTCTGCTACCAAACCCCTGGCAGCACAGAGTTCTGGGGGCCCGCTGACCACGCACTGCAGCAGCCAGGCACTGGGGAAGCTGCAGGAGCTGCGGAGAGAGCCCAGGAGACCCTGGAGGCAAAGCCCAGGAGTGTGTCCTGTGAGTACACAGAGGCCCAGGGAGCTTGTGAAACCTTGGGGAACTAGAAAAGCTGGAGTTCCATCCAGGTCCCCCTCTTCCAAGCATTCTGCTTCCTCTCTGCACAGACAGTAGTACTAGATCCAGGTAGCTCAGAGACGGAAGGGGCCTGTGCTAAGGGAAGTCAGTGGGGAAGGCCGCTGGAGGAGGTGAGGCTTCAAATGGCGCTCAGAGAAGGCTGATTTGGAAAATGAGGGAGAAAGGGGGAGAGAGTGGCTTTCAGGTTGGCTTTGCAACAAGAGCACTTTGAACACTCGCACATGGGTAAGGGTGGACCCAATCTCCCACGATACTCACCACAGCCAGTAGAGAGAACAGTAGAAAACGGGAAGCAGGTGATGAGAGGAAAGTCAAAGATAGAAACAGAATCAGAAAAGTCTTTACCTGCCAAAGGCTTTGAATTTGAGCAGGTGTGAAATCAACACGTTGAGAGCAAGCCAGAGCCCATAAATGTAGTGTTTCTAGGATTCCTCGATTACATGCCAAGCTCTCAGTGGAATGTAGGGAAACAAATGCCAGCTGCAGAGTCAGACAGACCAGAACTAGGGCACCAGCTTCAGTGTTTAGCTAAATGTCCTGGTGCAAGTAGCTTAACCATTCTCAGTCTCAGGGCTCTTCACCTGTGGGTTGGAAGCAACGATACTTTCCATGTAGGCTCCTTCAAATGAAGTCCCTGGCAGGGAGACTAGCACACAACAGAACCTCAATCAATGATAGCTTCCTTCTCCCTCCTGTTTACCCTGCAGACCCCTCCTGTCTCCTAAGATGCATGCCCTTAAAAGTAGCTTTTAAAATTCAGAAATGCTAGGATTCCTCAATCTGGTGCATCCAGGGAGTTCCAGGGTGGTAGCAGCATATAACATCCCCCTGTTGAGGTTCTGCCTCCTGTACTCATCGGCCAGAAGGAAAAGCTCGGGATCAGGGGAAAACAGTCAAGGTGTCTTTGGCTCCCTGGCCAGATGGTGTCTTAAGGTGGTGTTGCCTACCCAGGCTCCACAGGGCAAATGACCATGCCACTTTCTCTTTCAGGAGGAGAAGTCACCAAACCTCGGTTTGCTCAATTCTTCCATGGTAGCCTGGCCAGTCTCACCATCCGTCCTGGAAAAATGGAAAGCCAGAAGGTGATATCCTGCCTGCAGGCATGCAAGGAAGGGCTGGATATTAATTCCTTGGAAAGCCTTGGCCAAGGAATAAAGGTAAGGAAGTAGCTGGCATTGCCCCCAATAAGATGATGATTTATGAGGCTGAGGCTGCCCCGTGCCAGCACGCTTCAGGAAATAGAGGTTCCTCCAGTGTTGCACAGAAATGGCTCCATGGCAAAGGTGCTGCCATGGGGGGAGATTAGTGACCGTGACTTCCACAGCGGACTTCTGCTGCCAGCTCCCGAACCTCCTAGATCAGGCCCTGTGTGTAATCAGTCCACTGCACAAAGTAGGTCTGTGTGCAAGGTCTATCTGGAAGAAGTTGTTTGTTATATTTCATTTGTTTGTGGGTTGGTTGGTTGCTTTGTTATTTATTTGCCTAAAGGAACTGAAGCATGCAAGGATGCATTTCAAAAGCATAAAATATAAATAAAAGTTAGGACCCTGTAAAATACAAATTAGAAGGGAAGGTGGAAACTGGGTAAGGTGGCATTAGAAAGCAGACGTGGAGGTCATTGTGTCCTACACTGTCACATCAAAACACAGATTAGGCTCTGAACAATCTGTGGCAGTCAAAAGAAATATCAACAGATTCATGATTTTTATTGTTTGTACAAAATAAAAATATTGAAGTGATCTGAGAGCATCAAAGGTACATTCTGAGAAAAGCTCCTCCTGAAGAGGGCAGGGAAGGAGGTGACTGTGACCTCAGCAAGCACCTCCCTGGCCAGCAGGTCACTGTCCAGCCTCCCCTGCACCTCAGGAGCACGCGCCCACACTGTCAGGGGCCTGAATGAAGAGCCGAGTCAAGATGATTGCAGCCCCCACTCATCATAACAGACCCCGTGAGAGAAGGAAGCCCCTCAGCCTGCTCTCTGGAAGTCAGGACGTCCCACCCTCTACCTCCAGGGCTCCTCGAGGCCCTAGGAGCTGTGAGGTTTCCCTCCTTGGCCATTTCCACAGGAAATGGGACTAAAGCAGAGGTTTCCCAGCTCACTTCCCAGCCCGACCCAGTTCCAGCCAGGGAGCCCCGCCCTCCCTGTCCTGGGCCCCCCTCGTCTGGACGGGAGTCACCCATCCCACAGAGATCCCCTGTCAGTGGCCCACTGCTGGCAGGGCTCTGACACTGCGTAGCCACAGAGGGGCTGGTGATCTGAGCACATCACGGTGTTCTTTAAATAGAAGTCATTTCCGTAAGCACTGCGAGGACGCTCAACTATTCTGTTCTGGGCGGGATCCTCGGATAAAAAAGGAAGGTTCTGAGCTTACAGTCTTCAAGGAGCTCAGTGGCCCAAGTGGACATTTGCAATCCAGTTGATGACTGCTACAAAGATTATGAGTACTAACATTTACTCAGGGTCTCCCAAGTGCCAGGCACTGTTCATTCTGAACGCTTTCTGGGTATGGGGGTGAACGCTACACCCCCATGACAAAGGTACCATGGATATTCCTATTTTGCATATAAGTTGAAGATCAAAAGGGAAAGGACACTTGCCTAAAATTCCAGAGTGAGTGATGAGCAGTCAGAAACCGTACCCAGGCAGTCCCACTTCCGAGCTCCAGAACCTGGGGGAATGGCAGTCAGGGAAGGCTCCTTGGAGGAGGCAAAGGCAAAACAAAGTTTAAGGTAGGCAGGAATTAACCAGGAAAAAGGCAGGGAGGGGTAGAGGGCTGTGGGAGAGCGGGCAGTCATTCCAGACAGATCCACGGGTGAGTGAGGACTGGAGAACTGCACAGCATGCACTAGAACTTACCCATGAGTGCAGAGTTTCAGGAGAAAAGGGTGGAGTGCATGACCAGAGAGGTAGGCAGAGGCCACATCAGGAAGCCTGTCAGCCACGTTTAAGTGTTTCCACTTTTTTTCTGTCAACAAAGGAGAGCCATTGAAGGCAAGGTAGCGTGAGCTGGGCAGATGTGGGGTTTGGGAAGTGCACTGTGGAGAGTGGGTCACAGAGAGAGGAAGGGAGGGGTATAAAAGTCAGGGCAAGGCAAGACTGACATTCCAGACATTGTTTAACATGGATTAGATATGCCTGCACGCGCATGCCCACACACACACACACACACACACACACACACACACACACACGCTCTTGATAGCCAATCACTGGTCGTGGGAGGAAGCTCACGAGATAGCCTCTTATTGGAAAGGCCAGTCTTGACCTACTGTTTGTTGTTTCCTTAGGGTTTTGTCAACCCATTGATACAAAAATGCATCCCTCTACCCTCCCCTATTTTTCTGATTCTAAGTTTACTCCCTGCCCCTGAGTGACTCTGCTCTGAACCGTCCCAGGCGGCCACAGTTTCAGGGTTCCAGGCACTACAGAGTGATAAACCAAAGATACTGGACTTAAAAGCCACGCGTTTTTACAATTATAAATGAAGAACCATGGCAATTTCTACAGAGCAGTCATAGCCTATGAAAGGAGGAGGTGCTAAAATAAGCGGCACACAAAACCGTGGGGGCTGAGGCTCATCTGACTGTTCGAGATACTACCTGTTCATAACCGAGTCACTGCAAGTGACCCTTTTCCGTCTCCAGGGCGAGGGTGGTGATAACTAGAGCACCAAGTGAGAAGTAGTAAGACACAATTTACAGAGCACCCACTGGGGTCTATTTTATGTTCATTATCCCTACTCCTCACAACAAATTAAATGGTATGACCCCATTTCGAAAATAAGGGAACTGGGGCTTGGGGACTTGTTCAAATTAAGTCCGTGCTCTTTCCTCCACACCAGCAACTCAGATTAGAAAATATTCTTGAAAACTATTTAAACTTACCTGGGCATTGTCTTGGAAGCAAAAAAAAAAAAAAAAAAAAAGAAAAGAAATACTATTTAAACCAACTTCCTTCCTTTCCTCCCTCCATTTATCCCTCATGTTATTTCTGAATAATGATGATTATTTCCTTTGCCGGTTACTGGCCTCCTCTCACATCTCTGGCTAGCCAAAAAAGGAGGCCCTACTGCAATTAAGGAAATTCTCCGTCTGCTCACAGGCCCAGCGTGGTTCCTTGCTTTACTTGTCTTCCTCTGGGGCATGCATATTTCTGAATATTTCTCCAGTGCCGAGTGTTTTTAAGTGGCTGTGGTGGCTGCTGTCTTATATCCATGAAAGACCCTGTGCAATAGCCACATTCCTGAAGAATCTCCTGTTCTGATTTTCATAGCACAATCTCTGCCCATCTGTCTTCTCCATCAGGTGGAAGAGCAGGAAAGAGCAAGAACTTCGGAACAAGACACTCCTAGGTTCAAATCATAATAAGAACATTTACCAGTGAGGTAACCTTGGGCAAGACATTTTAATCCTTTTAGCTCATATATAAAATGGGCTTTATATTATTTATCTTGTAGTGATATAAGAATTGAATTATATATATATATCCCCCTAGCAAACCTAGTAGGCTCTCAACAAATCACAGTTCCTTTTGTAACTGAGGAGACTTTAAAGTGGCAAATCTCATCTGGCCCAGCCCAGAGAGACTGCAGGTGTCTGAGGGAATGTCAAGGTACCTGGAAAGCTATAGCAATCTGCCTCCAAAGGACAGGCCAGGGATTTGAGCAGGGACTTCACTGATGGTCTAGCCTGCTAGGGGACTGAAGACACAGGTCAAGCCTCTAGGAAAGGTGACCATTCTCCAAGGACCATCTATCTAACACCTTCTTGGCTCAAAAAGAAAAAAGAAATCACTGTGCACAGATTCCCAAGGGAGAGTGAGCACTTGTCACCCTTTGCTGGGCCCCCCACCATGCCACCATCTCCTGCCCCTGTGGAGATGCCAGTATAGATATGTCTCCTGCATAACCAGAGACCCATTCATAGAGCTGAGATGCTGCAGATAAAAAGAAAACCTAAAAACCTACTTTGTAGGTTTTTATTGATCCTGGAAGAACAATGTCAATGGCTAGGCCGGTGCCCACCTTCGTGCTCTGTGCCAGCCCTCTGGATGCTCTGGCAGCCAGACCAGGGTATAAACTGGAGACCCAGCACATTCCCTGCACCATCCTCTTGCCGGTGGCTGCAGTGGGACTGTGCCTTCTGAGGCTTGCCATGGGTTGCTGCCAATCCACCCCTCTAGAAGAACCTCTTGATTCTCCCATTCAGCCCTCATGCAAGGCTCAGAGATCAGCCACGTTTGCAGGCCTTTGCATGTGCCTCATGCTTTCCATGTGCTAGCCCCTGATGCGGTCATGAGGACAAGTCAGTACACCTACCCTCGAGGTGTTCACAGTCTGCTAGAGGACACAGATAGACAGCAACAGCACCACAAGACCCTGCTATAGAAGGGATGGTGCAGGGCAGGGGGTCGATAAAGAGGAACAGAAAAACATTTTGGAACATAAGTGGTGTTTTTAGAAGAATGACCTTGAATTTTCTCCTGTCTGAAGCAGATGACTTGTGGAACCCCTCAGAACTAATCGGGACTCACTAGTGTGGGGCAGCTCCAGGGCTGAGCACCCTAAGCTGGCAAGAGATTCCCCACAAGACAGACACCAGCCCAGAGAGTGACCGCAGCATCAGCCATGCATAGTCTGGGCGCTCCAGGATCTAGCACCAGGGCATGGGGCCTGTGGCCAGATATCACCACTCAGAGGGACCCTGCTCCCAGGGCTTAGAAGGAGAGGAGAGGGTGGAGTCGCAGGGAGAGAACAATGGTGGAGGCAGGGGCACCACACGAAGACTCAGTGCAGAGCTATTGCCGTAGTGAGAATTATTATCAAAGCTGTCATATACTGAACACCTTGTACATGCCAGAAACTTTAAATACACTGTGTCAATTAAGCTCCAGACAGGTGTATATTAATTTCCCTGTTATTTAAATTAGGAAACCAAGTCCAGAGAGGGAAAGTATATAGTTGCAGCACACTATAGGCCATAGTTTGCTTGGCCATTTGTACTGCAACTGGAGCATGACAGTCCACAAAGCCCATGGTCTTTAAAGATGCCACATCACCCTGGGGCAGTGAGAATTGGGTCTGGGGAGTGCTGAATTCTTCCTAAGGGGCCAAGCTATTACAGTAGCAAATGACTTCAAATCTCAATGACTTAACAGTCAAAAATTTATTTTTCTCTTACACTCAGGGGCTTGGGGTGGGGTTTCTGCCCAGAATGCTGCTTAAGTAGAGGGAAAAAGAGGCTGGAGCCTCCCACAGGGCAGTTCACCCTCTCAGCCCAGAAGTGCCACACATCACTTCCTGTCACGTCTCATTGGCCAGAGGGAGTGACATGGCCTTGCCCACCTGAGGTGTAAGGTGGCTGGGAAGTGTAGCCCCCAAGGTGTCCAGGAAGGAAAGGAGAACAGGGTTTGGTGAGTACCAATTATGAATGGCTTCACAGAACTCTACTGAAAAGGCAAGGAACAGAAAAACAAGAGTTACTTTGAGAAGTGACAAGACTGAGTGAAATGTAGGCCAGGGCACAATTGGCTCACTCACCTAGCAGGGGCTTTCAGAACACAAGGGCTGGGTTTTGGGAGTCAGGGATAGCAGTCAAAGTCCCTGTGCTCAGTGAGGTCCTGGGTGCTGAACTATGATAATGGAGCTCCCATTTCCTAAGTGCTATGGGAAAAAGGCACCAGAGTCCAGTGGGGACCAAAATGAGAGAAGCCGGGAGACCTTGAGGAGTAGGTGATGATAAGGCACTCACATGATAGTCAAAGGAGACAAAGATGGAGCTACTGGTTAGCTAGGGGACACCATGCAAGGGACTTATGTGGTTCAATGTCATCAATAGTGCTCAGGAGACATCCACTTCCTGTTAGGGCCCAGACACAGGCAGACCACCCTTATAAAGACATTCAAGTCATACAGGGAAAAGTTAACATAGATTTTTCCTTAAACCTAAGAAAAGATACACTCAGCCTCCTTCATGGTAAGAAAAATGCAAATTAAAACTATGTGAAGATGGCATTTATTATCTGTCAGATTGGCAAAAATCCCAAAGTCTGACAGAATATTGAGTTATTGAGGTATTAAGAAAAGAGGCACTCTTATACACTGTTGTCAGGAGTGTATAGTGATATAATCCCTAGAAATGGGGAATTTGGTAACATTTATCAAAGTTAAAAGTGCATATGTTCTTTGACCTAGCAATTTTACTTGCAGGGATTATCCTTCAGATATATTCACACACTTATGAAATGATATGTGTACAAGATTATTTACTCTGGCATGGTCAGTAAAAGATCAGAAATAACCTAAATGTCCGTATTAGGAGACTCACTAAAAATTAGTTTATCTATACAATGGAATACTTTATATCTAATAAAGAATGAGAAGGCTTGTCATGTACTGATACAGAGAGATCTCCAAAATATAAGCTAAGTAAAAAAAGTAAAGTATGATACATTATGTAATGAGATGCCTTTGGTATAAGAAAGGAGAAAAATTGAAATCTGTAGTCACTGATTATGTATTTATGAGAATGTTTAAGTATAACTGTCAGGATAGGGTAGGTTATGCTACAATAACAAATGATTTAACATCTCAGTAGCTTATACAACACATTTTATTTATTGCTCATGCTTCATGTCCATTGCAGATTGGCTGAAGCTCTGATTCATACCACCCTCACTGTGAAACCCAGGCTGATGGACTAGCCCCTAAAAGAATTTTGCCAGTTTCATGGCAGAGAGAAAGGAACATGGCAAACCATGACCTGGTTATTAAATCTTCCATATGGGTGTGAACCAAATAATATTCCTGCCCACATTTCATTGACCAATCAAGTTACATGACTGCTGCTGTGTACAATAGGGCAAAAATCTATATCCTGAAGGAAAGTGTGCCATAAGTCACATGACCAAGCCTGTTAACAATAGGGCTGGCATGTATAAGCTTCCCATGGGAGGGGAGGCTCCCAACTAATTGTGAACAATAATGCAGTTTGCCACTAAGAAATTAATATAATAGTGATTCCTTATGTGATGGAATTGTGGAAACTGGGTGAATGGGATATAGGAATAAGATGGACACTTTTCACTTAGCATATATATACATCTGAACATATGTGAACATGTATGTGAATATGCTAATCAAAAAAGTAAATAATTGTTAAGTCAGGTAGCTACCTAAAGTCAGGTACCTACTTAAGTCAGGTGCCATGAGCATTCAACACATAGTCTGAATCCGCAGATATATTCCTGACATGTTATTGATAGCATTTCCTGATAATTCTTGCTCAGAATGTGTCAAGGTCAGTAACTCAGAGGAGTTCAAAGGCAGTTCTCCCCATTCCAGTCGAAGAAGAGTAATTGCTGGGGGAACATGGGGAGGAGCAAGGGGCTGTGTCTTGCTTGAGGACCTGGGGGGCTCGGTGGGGAGCAATGTAGGCCCACAGCCTTCACCAGTGTGAGATAGCAGGGACTCAGCGTAGAATGGACACATAAGCTCAGGGCCACTGTCATGTATATAAACAGCAGGTGAGTAGAACTCATGGACAGCCAGAGTTTAGCACTAGGAAAGCAAGACAAAGAATCAGATCTGGGAAAGAGAGAAAGCCAGTAACTGGAAAATAAGGTTGGAAACTAAGAAGATGGGAGATGGGCCAGGAAATGGAGTGCAGGATGAATTTGGGGAGCAGTTTAAGGCCAAAGACAAGGGCAGCAAAAGGAGCCAAGGCCAAGTTCTTGGCTGTCAGCTGAGGGCATGAGTAGTCCAAGGGCTAGAAGTTAGTGCTGGACCAGAAAGGAACACAGGTCACTCCCCGCCAATGGCTGGGCTGCAAGAACACCATCACTAGGTTTTCAGAATCCCATCTTGTGGTTTAGGCTGATAGTACCAGGAACAATCCCTGGGGAAACCTCACAAGGGAGAGTCCCGAAGCCCACCAGAGAGTAGCAGGAATTGCTTGAGAAGTTAGAAACAATCATTTGTGCACACAACTGCATCTTCACCTGCAGATGCTCTGGCCGTGCCTGTGCTGGCCTTAGTGGCCCTTTTGTGGAGATGGGGGACTTTCACAGGACTGTGTGCATCACTCATCATTCTTTCCTGTGATTCCCACTTCTGTCTTACAGTATCACTTCAACCCCTCGCAGTCCACGCTGGTGATGGAAGGTGATGATGTTGGGAACATTGACCGTGCCCTGCAGAAGGTCTCCTACATCAACTCCAGGCAGTTCCCGACGGCGGGTGTGCGGCGCCTCAAAGTCTCTTCCAAAGTCCAGTGAGTGGATGAGGGCGGCCTGGGGCCCAGCTGAGGCAGCAGGGTCTGTCCCTTGGGCATGTGCCCTTGCAAACCGGATTCGCCATTCCTCAGCTGTCTTCACCTTCTCTGCAGGCCCTGTGAGGGTGCCTCGATGGATCTGTGTGATCCTTTAGTTTATTTTTTAAGGAAAATGCTCTGTTGCTTTGACACCTCAAATCCACCTTTCTCTATTTTATTCTGTATCTGATCTAATGCCTAGAAGGTGCTTCTTCCTATAAATTCTCAGAGAGCTGGGTTTGAAGTGGTCTGATCTAAAGGCTCAGCACCTGGCTCATAGAAAGTGCTTGACAAATGTTTATTAAATTGAATTAAGTTGATCAACCCAGCGTGGCTGAGTTCCTGAGCACTGTAAATATGCCAGAGAAAGACAGGGCCCGGTTCTTGTCCCCAGGGATCAGACTTGAATTAATGAGATGAGATTATTACTAAAGCCTTTGGATAACACACTTACTGGCCTATGAAATCACTTCTCAGCCACAGTGGCTACCTGAGAGTGTGACTAGGAGGGGGACTCCAGGAGGAAGGTGGGAGTGGAGCTACATGGCACCTAGAGCCAGGAGAGGGATTCAGAAAGAGAGGAACAGGGTGGGGAAGATGGGTCTGCTGTGGCCTGGGCCAGGTGCTGGATAAAGCCCCCAGGTGACAGCTACGGTCAGTAGCTCTAGAACAATGGAGGGGCTACTTCCACCCCTCGAGGCCTGGGGGTAGGGAGCAGGCACTGCAGTGGAGTGTCCAGCTCCAGACCAGGCTTCTGTGAACTAGCAAGGGGAGGAGAGCGCCCTGGGGCTGGCACGGCAGAGGCAGGAGAAACGTGGAGCAGGACCCCAGCACAACTCCCCCATCTCACCCGCCCCACAGAAGATGCTGGAGTGCTCCGCATGGGATCCACCTAGGCTGCGCCTCCCTGGGAACTTTCCCATGGTGTGCAAGGTGACCGCTGCCACCAGCTGGAACCCACCGGGCATCCCCAGAGCATCTGTCTGGCCCCGGCCCCCCTCCCAATTTAGCCTGCATTTTTGGCTCAGATGACCAGCAGAGTGCCAATGACACACATGCCCACAGTGAGGTCTGATGAGAGAGTCAGATCAACCAGCATTTATTAAGCTGAAACCAGGGTAGTCAGCTTCTTTTCTATACATTGTCTGCATTCAAACCTTATTGCTGCTAGGCAGTCATTGTCATCCTGCTGTATCGATGAAGAAACTGAGGTTCACACAGGAGTCGAGTGCCTTTTCCACATTCACCCAGCCCAACCGTGGCAAAGCCAGGCCATGGATTCCTGTCTGTCTAACTTCTCAGGCCGTATTCTTGTTTTTACACCATGTCTGCCTCCCAGATATATTTTAAGCAATGTATCAGGAAAAAAGAGGGTGCTTACAGTAGCGCTCGGCTCCCACACCTAGAAAAGGTGCACTTCTGTGCTGTCCTCGTAAAGACATACAATATATGCTGAGGCAGGAGAGTTTAGCCCTGGGGTCTCAATTAGTAAGATGGCTGTAACCAACCAGTCAGACAGCAATTTGCTTACCAAATACCAGTGCACATAACAAGCGGTTGCTATTTAATTAAGTTTGCCATTGATTACTTTGTTAAAGGATGATGAAAGGTTTAATGGTTACTTGTTGCTCATATAGAAAATTCCCATTTCTCCCAGGAACCAACCTTTTAAGTCCCTAGATCACTGGTAGTTTCAATTATAATGTGGCTTTAAATTTGAATGTCTGTTGACATCCTCAGAGATTCTTAGGTGGTCAGAATGCCTTGTCAAGGACTAAAGGTAGCAGCTCCTTGTCCATGACAGTGTGATGGATGGTTTAATCATTTGCTCATCAGGGCCATGACTGAAGCTGTTTTCCCAGGTGCTTTGGGGAAGATGTGTGCATCAGCATCCCTGACATAGACGCCTATGTGATGGTCCTGCAGGCCATCGAGCCCCGGATCACCCTCCGGGGCACGGACAGCTTCTGGAGACCTGCTGCACAGTTTGAAAGTGCCAGAGGAGTGGTCCTCTTCCCTGACATCAAGATTGTGAGCACCTTTGCCAAAGCCGAGGCCCCTGGGGATGTGAAAACCACAGGTACAGGTGTATTTGGGGTTGTGGGGAAGGCGGGCTATAATTATTTATAGCTACGTAAAAATCATCCTTCAGGACTGCAGCATTGTTCACCAAGGCAGGACAATGTACATATAATAATAAAACACACAACAAGCAAATCCAGAAACAACCCAAATGAACAGCAGGAGGGCAAATAATGGTTTAGCAACCTACAAGTGATAGGAGGTTGGAGGAACTGCATGTGTGCTGAATGAGAAGTGAAAAAAGCAAGATGCAAAATTACATAGTATCTGCACATAGAATGATCTCAAAAAAATCATTAGAAAAATGCCAAGAAGAACACACACCTAAAGCTAACAGTGCTATTCTTCTGAGAAGTCTGGTGAGAGCCAAGTCGTTTCTGCTTCCCTTTTCTTTTCTGCAACTGCAGAAATGTGCTATAGTGAGCATGTATATTCTGATAATCAAGAAAAGCTAGAGATGCAAAAAGAAAAAATACAGCTGTATCTTCTTATAACATTAAACGTTAGGTCTCACTTAGCAATATTACTGTAAGCTTCCAGGACACTTTCTAGTTATTTCCAACAGTTCCATTATTGGGAAGGTTCCTCAGTGCAAGTAGAGTAATTTGAATTATCTGCCAGGGAGAAACACTTAGTTGCACTGAAAGCTATAGTACATGTTGGGGAGAGGAGAAAGGAAGGAAAGAAACAGGGAAAGGAGGGAGAGAGCAAAAGAGAAAAACCTTCTTTTTGTTACTCAGAGGGGCCCAGGTCTTTAGGGAAAATATGCCTTTGAGAACCGTCATTTGCTTCCTTATCCAAGAGAAAGCTTTCAACTCTCCCCTCCCCTCCAAAAGCCTCTGCTAACGGTGTGCTGGTGTTGCTGGGCCTGAGTCCCTGAAGAGCAGCTTCTATAATAATCCTAATTACCCACTGCCTTAAACCACCCTGATCCCTAGTGTATGGGGTGCTCAAGAGGCAGTCCTTCTTAGCTCATAAAAATAGATGGTGTTTTACCACCTGTCCGGGCAGGGTGGTTTCCTAGTTACAGACCAAGGTGCATTAGATTGTGTGATCTTCCCTTTTTCCCTGTCCTCATTTGTGGCTAAAATCAGACGGAGAAAAGAAGGGCCTCTGACCTCAGTGGTTGCAGGCCGTAACCAAGAGCGTCCCGACTTGCTGTGTCTGACACCAGCATACAGGCAATGCGGGCAAAGCAATTATCTGGGACCACACTTCACCTTCTGTTCATGAGAGGTGCATGCAGAGCACACAGCCAAGTGCCCAGTGGCTATTATTAGTAGTCTTAAATTTTTACTTTTATCGTTGTTAGAATAATCATTATTATGAGTCTCTTAAACAAGCAGGGCAATGGCATTTGCCGCCAGGCCTCAGCGACCAGCTCTTGCACCATCTAATGCCCCTGTTGACTCGCTCTTTGTGCTGTCTCAGCACCAAAGATGGGGATCCCCCCAACACACACACACACACACATACACACACACCTCTCCTTCACGCGTGGTATTAGCTTACACCTTTGTTCTGCTTTCTAGCTGAAAGGTCCCTTCCCTCCCCAACCCCTTGATTGCTGGCAAACATCTCCACCTTCAACACCTCCTCCAGAAGTCTCCCCACACCCCACCCCAATGCTGCCAGCTGCTGGGGCTTCCCCCAAGCACACAACTCTCTTTGGCTCTCAGTAGTGATTATCTGTTTATTAAACCAGACCAAGAGATCCCCAGGGGCTCAACCATGGCTGATTTACCTCTGGGTCCCAGAACCCAGCACAGCCCCTTCAACACAGCGGGAAGCACGCAAACGGGAGACACACCCTCCGTGAGAGGGGACAGTGAGAAAGTGGCAGCTCTCACTCAGCCACATCAGAAGGTAGGAACAGGATGACAGGGCCCGTCCGACAAGAGGCTGGCAAAAAGGCCCAGAAACTGTGAGAAGGCCATTTGAAACAGAGGCACACACCATTGTTGATGGTCTACCTTGTCTCAAGTGTATGTTATTATACTTTTAGATTTGCTGATAATACATGAAACCACTGTGGTTGCTAATGTCTTCTCCTGGAAGTACTTTAATTAGTTATGTTAATTAATTTACCAATTATTAATTGTTACTTATATTGTGTTGATTTCATTGGTTATTAATTAATTAATGAGCCAGCTGCATTTGAACAGTGTGTAATGGTAACTGTTCCATGCCAGCACCTGCATTAAACACTAAGGATTCAGTCTTAAAAAGCCAGTTATTCTGCCCTGGAGAACCTCAGAGTCCCGTGAGGGAGACAGATAGATACACTATGGCCCCATGGTGAAAGTTACAAGAGTATCATGACAAAGAACCACTCATCTCTCCCCAAAAAGAGAGCTGTTGCTTATTGAGTACTACAATGTGTTTCATCCTCTTGAGACCCATGTCCTCTTTACAGATGAGGAAACTGAGTGGTAGGTAGTTCCTCTCACACCATGCAGCTTCTTAATAGCAGAGCTGGTATTCAAATTCACATCTTTTGACTGTAGTATCCATGCTCTTCACACTGATTCATGCGGTCCAACTCCAGGGCTGCTAGAACATCTTAGTAGTGGACATGGTGTTTGGGATTGCACAGCCTTTTCTCCTGATCGAGATGACCCTTCACTGTTATTAACCTGGGGTGATAACAGAGGAGGAAGATGGTGAGCAAGGGCCATTATCTGAGCTGTTCCTCATGCCTGCATTTCCCATGCACCTGTCTTCCCACAGCCCCAAAATCAGCAGTCTTAGAAGAAATGCTTCACAACTTAGATTTTTGTGACATTTTGGTACTTGGAGGAGACCTGGACCCAAGGCAGGAGTGCTTAGAGCTCAACCACAGCGAGCTCCACCAACGACACCTGGATGCCACTAATTCTACTGCAGGCTACTCCATCTATGGTAAGGCCATGCTCAGCCCCTCTGTGCCAGTGGTGCCCTCTCAGAACGTCCTTGTCCAGGGAGTCATGGATGTAATGATGCCTATGGCGGTGCACTGTGAAGCTCCAGGGGTTGGGTGGAGATCCTTGACCTGTAAACCCTCCTTTGGTGAGTTACTCCAGCATTAGGGACCTGTCCCACATCCCCACTCCTGGGGAAATCTATAGAAAGTAGATGGATGCCTTCTCTTACAATGTTTGATCTCAGCACATGTTGCAGCAGTGTCTGGCAGATGGAGGCCAAACATTCTAGTCAGAGCCCTGTCTATCTGGAAAGCCTGTGGATCAATTTAATTGGCTGCTTAGAACTTCTGCTTCTACACTTTTTCTGCCCAAATCATCTCATCATCTCAAGCTTTTACCCTTGACAAATGTAGGAGACCCACAAGCCCTACCAGCCCCATCCTGTCTCCCCTGTCTTCTCTTCCTCCTCCTCTTCTACCTTCTGATGACTGGTGTGGTCTCTTGGCACAGGTGTGGGCTCCATGAGCCGCTACGAGCAGGTGCTGCATCACATCCACTATCGCAACTGGCGTCCAGCTTCCCTGGAGGCCCGGAGGTTCCGGATCAAGTGCTCAGAACTCAACGGGCGCTACCCTAGCAATGAGTTCAATGTGGAGGTGAGTGGGTCCTGCCATTGTTAGGGAAGCCCAGGCTCACCCATTCATTCCCTCGTTTATTCAGGAGAACTGCTGCCACTGGCCCACCTGCCACTTCTGGTCATCAACACTCCCTGCTCTTCCCAGGTCAGCGTCCTCCATGAAGTGAGAGTCTCAGACAAGGAACATGTCAACCACCTGATTGTGCAGCCTCCCTTCCTCCAGTCCGTCCATCACCCTGAGGCCCGGAGTAGCACCCAGCGCAGTGCAGGTAGGCCATCTGAGAGGAGAGACCTCAGGACATCAGTCACCGCGACTCAGACCACCCAGGAAACAGAGAGTAGGTTGCAGCAGCTATACGTGCCCAGACCTGGGAGAAGGAACCCAGCAATAGAGAAGAAGTGGGCCCTGCCTCTGAGGCACTCACAGCCTCAATATACAGCCAGTCAAGTAAACAAGAAGATACACACAACACATAATAACAGAGATTGGCACAAAGGGCTGGGGGAAAATTTTGCTCGTCATTTCAGGCCCAACTCAAAGTCAGGTCCTATATGAAGCTTTCCATGAGCCCCTTACATACACTCACATATACACACGTGCACAGTATTGCAAAGTCCTCTGCCCATACTTCTGTCTGAGCACTTGCCATGTCATGTTACCATCTGCTGGGCATTTGTGTCTGTTCCTACTAAACTCCACAGTGCCTGGCTCTCAGTGGGTGCTCACTCATAATTTTAGGGGAAATGCCAGAGATAGAAGAGAACTTGCATTTATGGAGCACCTACTCTGTGCCTTTGTGAAAACTCATGTAGATTATTTCATTTGCTCCTCAAAATTACCCAGAGGATAGTGATTATTAAGTCAATTATAAAATTGGTGAAATTAAAGCCCACTCTCAGCTGAGAAGTGGTCGGGCAGATTCTACCCTATGCATGGATGTTTCCTCTACGTTCCATCACAAGGATAGCCAGACCTTTGTTCACCACAGCATGTGGGTTCCCTCCTCGTTCCAGTGGTCCCGAGCATCGCCACGGTGGTCATCATCATCTCCGTGTGCATGCTCGTGTTCGTCGTGGCCATGGGCGTGTACCGGGTCCGGATCGCCCACCAGCACTTCATCCAGGAGGCTGAGGCTGCCAAGGAGGCCGAAATGGATTGGGACGACTCTGCGTTGACCATCACAGTCAACCCCATGGAGGTGATCCTCACGCAATGGGGAGCTCTGGGTGGGGTACTTCTTTTCCCACCTGGCGCAACCCTTCCTGTGCCTGAAGCTCTCTGAGGGCCCCTCCTTCTGGAAGCCCGGCCCCAACAGTCCAGCCCCACTGATTCTTCCCATCTCCCAGCTCCTCCAACCCTCTCAGCTCAGCCACGCTTTCCCACAACTGCACTGTCTGATTTAAAATGTGTTAATCGCTCTCACCCCACAAACAGAACCAGAAATTTCTTAAAGCAAGCAGCCATATGGCGTCTATCCCTTGTCTCCCCCACAGTATTTAGCTCAGAGCTGACTAACCCTTAGGGACTCAGTATTGAATTTTTGATTAATTAACAGTGCAAATTAGATGGCTTTGCTCCATACTACCTGAAGAGTTCACTTGAAAGCTCAGAATAGACTAAAGCAAAAATACAGCAGCAACACCCGCTGTTTATCGAACCCCCATTATGGCAGACACTGTACAGGGTGCTCTATATATACCACCTCATTCAATCTTCTAACAACCTGCGAAGTAGGAACCATCATCCTCATTTACCAAGGTGGGAACCAGCTGAGAGAGGAGCAGTAAAGTGCTCAAACTCACACAGCCAATATTCAAATGTAATGTTGTCTTCATATCCATCCAGTGTCCCCCAGAGTCCACCCATGAGTGTCCAAGGCCCCTGCTCTGGACATGTGCCTAGCAAGGGCAGCCCTTTACACTGCTGTGTTTCCCCGAAAATAAGGCAGGGTCTTATATTTGTTTTTCCTCAAGAAGACACCCAAGGGCTTATTTTCAGGGGATGTGTTATTTTTTTTAAATACAGTACAACAATCTATATTTATTCAAATATAGTTAAATCATCTTCTTCTGGAACATCATCATAACTCTCCAAATTCCATCCTGAATTTCTTGCAACTCTATTTCCTTTAGAACCACTGACCCCAATCTCTCATGTCAAGCAATAGAGCTCTCATGGGGCAGATGAGAAGGGCTACTCGTCTTCTTTGCCGCTCCTCAATGAAATGCGTGGGTTGTGCAGATATGCTGCGTAGCCACGCCCATCACTATTTCTTATTTTCTTATTTTTGCTTAGAAATCCTGCTAGGGCTTGTTTTATGGGTAGGTCTTATTTTTGGGGAAACACCGTATGCCCTCTGCCCATGGGTGCTGGGTGGTAGTAGATGAAGGCTTACAAAACCAGGGAAACAGCAGGAAGAGTCACTGGGAAAAAACCAGGATGATGAGATCCCAGCCTGATGATCCCAACCTAGCTCCCCCTCAGCTAGTTTTACGTTCTGATGCAAAGCCAGTGTGCTGATGCGGCTCTGTTTTTCTGAGCACATGCTGTAGGTACAGTGATGAACTCCAGAATTTTCAGCCCCCAAGAGCTGAGCCTTGAATATGGAAAACAAGACCACTCTACCTGGAGCAGTCTGAGGATCAGGCAAAAGTGTGCCTAAAGAGGGCTGATTGGTGATGTCAAGGGTCAGGAAATCTTGAGTAGGAAGAGCATTTGGGGAGGGAATGTTCAGGCAAGATTCCCTGGAGGGGGCTGGTCTGAGGAAGGCCTTGAAGAGTGGGTAGAATTGGGGAGAGTCAAAGGTAGAAGAGAAGATATTCTATAGAGGGGATGTAGCCAAGCAAAGAAACACACCTGCTAGGGCCTGGTTCACCAACTCAAAATGTAAATCCAGAACTAAGATTTTGCTAGAATCACCAAAAAGCTGGAGGGAGGGTGAATGGGACCAGAAAGGGTAGGTACAGTTGAGGACAAAAGTCAGGGGGTGACGGGGAGGTTTGGAGAGGGAGTACCATGAACTTTATCCTTTCAAAAGGAATATTTTTGAGGGGCTGCACATATGAGTCTTAGCTTAGAAGAGCTTCTGCTCCCAGGGACATTGTATTTTCCCCTGGAGAAAGGACACAAGATTAAATGCCAGTGACTCACTGAGAAGCAAACACTGTCTTGGAAGGCCTCATTTAGGCTCCAGAAATGCCAGAAAATAAACCTTGCCCAGGGAGGTTCAGTACATGATGGATGGGATTGGCTTAAATGTCCATCCCATGATTTGTACATGACACATTTTACCTTGAGTTCCAGTCTGAGAATTTGCTGCTATCTCAGGCCTTTGTCTTTAACCTTCTAACTTCCCTTTCCCCAGAAGTCCTCCTCTCCAGAAAGTCCATCTCTAGACCCAAGGGTTTAGCAGTAAGAGAAGCAATTCCAAGGGACCCTGAACGTTTCCTAATGGAGAGAGAAACACAAGCTCCAAAGTGGCCTCTGCTCAGCCCCTGATGACTATTTCTCTTCTCTCCCTGACATCCAGAAACATGAAGAACCAGGGCGTGGAGAAGATGAGACTGAGGGAGAGGAGGAGGAGGAAGAAGTGGAGGAAGACATAAGCTCCAGCAGCAGCGACTCCGATGACAGTGAAGACGAGGAGGAGGAGGAGGTGGTGGGCAGAGGCAGACACGGGCAGAGTGGAGCCAGGCAAGCCCAGCTGGAGTGGGATGACTCCACCCTCTCCTACTAGCGCCCGGAGGCCTGCTGCCCTGCCTGTGTGTCCCTTTTGTAGACCCCAACCCAATGTATGCCCACGTCCATCACACCTCGCCTCTGATTTCTGTGACAGGTCTGGGGAGGCCTTCTCCAGCCTCCTGGAACCAACCCACCCTTATGCCTTGGGCAGTTCCAAGAAGCCCAGCATGGCCATCAGTGGGGACTTCAGGGTGGACTTTGTCCTGTAGCTTCCACTTCTTTTCTGCCTTGGGCTCAGCCAGCACCCTGTCTGCCAGTCTGCAGAGTTCTGCCTTTGCTCTTTCTGCAGGGGAGAAGGTTTATGTCAGCCACCTACCCAGGCTCTGTGCCCCCAAGGTCCTTGGGTTCCAGCTCACTATGTGTGCACCAGGCTAAGTCGTTTCCTCCACAAAGACCAGCAAGTCCTCCTTACGCTGACTCCAGGTTGCTTTTTGCAGGGAAGGTGGTTGAACTTCATGCACCTAAGGTCTGAGTGTTTAACACTTTAAAGGAAAGTCATTGTTGACACAGAGTTAAGTTTATAGGGAAAGGCACATGCATTTTCTCTCTGTCTGTCTGTCGCTCCCCAATTGGAGAGTCCTTCCTTTTGCTTCTCTGTGAGGCCACATAAGCTTATATGAAAAGTCTAAAACCAAGAATAGGTCCTTGTCCACAAGCAGGGCTGGTCCCCAGCCAAAGCCATCTGAGCCTGTCTGCCTGGGCAGCCACTGAGACCCATGGCTGCCCTGTGGGGGGCACTCGCCACACAAAACCACAGGACCCAGGCCACATTCCAAACGGTACTGTCCCAGGTGACAGCCATGGCAAGCCTATACCAGGAAGCAGGAAGAAGGGCTCATGAGAAGGCATGCTAGGCTTCTTGGCGGGCAGGCCAGGGTGGCTGGGCTGCCCCAGGACACAGGTAGCCTTGAGGTTGGCGAGGTCTCACCCTTTAGTCTCATTGTCCCTTATCTCCTGTTACACTCTGTTGTCCCTCTTGAGAAAATGCTCCCTTCTTGGGAGTAGTAGAACACACATGAACCCCGCCAAGGCTAAAATGAAAGTCTGGAAATTTAGCTGCTAGGAATGTGAAGCATATCTGCAATAATGGCAGCTGCTTCTTTCTTTTCTCATAAAAGGAGAAATACTTTGGGTTGAGGGCAAATATATCCAGAAACCTAATTTATTTCTTTCTTTCTTTCTTTCTTTCTTTCTTTCTTTCTTTCTTTCTTTCTTTCTTTCTTTCTTTCTTTCTTTCTTTCTTTCTTTCTTTTTTTTATAAGGAAATCTTTTCCATCTTCTTCCTAACATGGACACCTTGTGAGGGGAATTGTTTCTATAGTAACTGCTCTGTGATCTTCTGTGGCCAAGAAAATGCAGGCAAGAATGAAGGCCATGATAGGGTTTCCACAAGCTCTGAGAACATGTTTGTTATGAATGCCTCAGGTTCCTCTTTGTCCTCCGTGTATATGAGCTGTCCCCATCCTCCCACCCTTCCCTAAGCCCATTCCATATTGGCTTGGCACAGGCACAGAGCTGGTCCCTAGTCAAGTGGCATTCAGGTTCAAAAGAAAGTTCAGAATCTGCTCAGTCTGTTCCCTGTGTCATGAAAACAGCTTAGGAACGGGACCACCACCAAGTCCTCTGGTCTGACCTCCACCCAGTAAGGATCCACAACAGGCCTTTGCAACCTTCTGATTCTGGAGAACTACCTTATGCAGCTTTTTCCACCTCCTAACGTGGTTTTTGCCTCTGTTCCCTCCTTTGGGCCTCACAATAATCTGTGAAGTGGTTGAGGCATCTGCGATGAGACGCATTTTCATGATGAATAATCCAAGGCTGGGACATTCAGTGTCTTGCTCAGAGTCATTCAGAGGGGTAGACAAGACCAGACTGCCCAGCCTCCACTCTTGGCCCACTTATCTCTGTGTACCTACTGTGTGCTAAGCACTCTGCCAGCAGCTGTGGGAAATGACTAAAGCTGAGTAAGATTAGCTTCTCCCCACAGTGGAATTCGTAGTTCCAGATAGGAAACCAACATCCTAGAAATTATACAAGAGACGGATGGAAGGGAGAGCACAAGTCACAGGGAAAGGGACACACAAACTCAACCATTGCCCTTATTTTTCCTTCCTTAGGTAAAAACACTGGAAGAAGTTTGGGGATTCATATTCATTGAACAGAAATAGACATTTCTCCTATGAATTTTCCCAACCAAATAGCCCTTTTCAATCAGGCTGTGTCTGCACATCCATGAGGAGAAAATCCACAGGATTCATTAGTCTTCACAATGCCACTATTTAAATAAAAAGAGATTCTTCAGTTGGGCATTTAGGAGCTACTGAATTCTCCCAAAATTATGGTTGCAAAAGGAACATTTTATGGCTTTAAAACCAATTCTTCTTGAGTTGGATTTTGATTTAAATATTTAAGTCAAGTGCACTTTTCTCTCTGCTCAGTCTTTTAGGTTTGTTTGGTAGGGAAGGTGTTCCTCATGTCCTCTGGCTGTCTCTGGTGGCCACGTTACTTACGCATGGTTGAGTGGGCTGTTCGGGGCCTTATGAAATCTATATGTTTTGGAGTTTTGTTTTTTGTGTGTGAGGAGGGCAGGTAAAAATGGCACTTGGCTAGGGTAGCACAGATGAATTATTTGAAGAGGCATTTGGTGACTGGACTCATCTGCAGAGAAACGATGGTGACAATGAGTCAGAGCCCTTTCCCTCAACTCTTGCTGTGAGGGTCATTCCCTGCATGCCAGCTCCAAAGATGAGGCCCTCAAATGATGCTGCCTGGTCAACAGGCATTTGTCATGTTCCCAACACCCTACTCCTTACCATGGGTGAGGAGAGGTGGTGACATAGAAGTAACAGAAGCTTTGGAAGGTACCCAGGCGAGCACTGGGTAATATGACTTGCCCTCCACCAGGTAGTCCACCCATGAGTAACAAGTGTTATTAATCAGCCAGTGGTTTCCAACCTGCACATGCTGGCCTCCAGGAACCAAAACTCCCAAATGGCCCGGACACCCGGCGCCCTCTCATTCAAACGTCAGCAGCCAGGCAGATGCAGGTGCCCACACAGGGGGACCACAGCCCAGTCTGTTGCTTGTCTTGCCACACAGATGGCCAGATTCTGCTATCCAGAGCTTGACAAAACAGGCTGAAACCTCTCAGGTAACTCAGATGACAGGGAGAAGAAAGAGGAGGATGAGAAGACTGAAATTGGAAAAGCCGAGCACAGAATGAGGTGCCTCAGTGGAGTAAGACAATCCACTAGTCGGTGACCTACCCTAAAAAATACTAAAAATATAGTAGATTTAACCCAATGCTGTAAGTGGGATCTCTTTATTACCACCTTTTTGAATTTACCAATCATCCTATTAGGCAGGGTTTAGACCAAACACCCTTGCATTTAACAAGGGCTATCCCTCGTGGGCATGGACCGTCCAGTGAGAAGGCTCTTGGTGGTAAGCAATGTCCTCCATTCCTGTAGGTCAGGGGTCAGCAAACCATATCAACCAAGAGCCAATATCTTGGGCTTTGTGAGCCATATGGTCTTTGTCACAAGTACAGTCGGCCCTCTATCTGCGGTTTCCAAATCCATGGATTCAACCAACTGCGTATAGAAAATATTTGCGGAAAAAATGGATAGCTATATCTGAATTGAACATGTACAGACTTTTTTCCTTGTCATTATTCCCTAGACAATAAAGTATGACAACTATTAACATAGCATTCACATTGTATTAGGCATTATTAGTCATCTAGAAATTGTTTAATGTATATAGGGAGATGTGGGTAAGTTGCAAAAAATACTATGTCATTTTACATAAAAACTTGAGCATCCATGGATTTTGGTATCTGCAGGGGAGGGAGACCCTAGAACCAATACCTCATGGATACCAAGGGACAACTGTAGTCAACTCTTCATTGTAGCATGAAAGCAGCCACAGACGATACGTAAACAAACAGATGTCCCAATAAAACTTTATCTAGGTTTCCATAAAAGTTTATTTATGAACACTGAAAAAACAGGCAATCTGAAATTTATATAATTTTCACATTATGAATTTTTTTCACTCTTTTAATCTTTATTTTCAACCGTTCAAAAACGTAAAAGCCTTTTTTAGCCCACAGGGCATACAAAAACTAGCTGCCGGTGGGATTTGGCCATAGGGCCATAGTTTGCCGACCCTGCCATGCATGCAGGGAAAGCAGCCTTCCGTTTCTCAGGAGAAAGCAAGCTGCTATCCTAGCCTCCCACCCACTGCCCAGTGGTCTTTGCTTCCAAACTGAACAACAGAAAAACCCCATAGTCCTCAATTAAGCTCTTTTCAAAGTCCATGTTCCAGGGGGAACACAAAAACAAACAAACAAAAGCACATTTGTTACTAGTTGAATTGACAAACTCAGACAAACATTCCTTAAGAGCTGAAAGCCTTAGGTCCCGGGAGCTGCCTCATTACCAAGGGCTAACTCCACCGAGGCAAGTGTTAATTCCCCAGGCTCCCCGCCTTCCCGCACGGCTCAGCCCATAATGATTTCTAAGCAGGGGTGTTCATTATCGCAGACTGATTTTCATTTCAGCCCTGCTCAGGCCAGCACTCTAAAAATGATCCTAAAGACTTGTGACTGTTTAAATCAATAGCAACATAATCAGTATAAAGCCCGATCCAGCACACTTCAAAATTAGCAATCTTCTTGGCTCTACGACTCAATATCATTAGCAAGAGGAAGAAAAAGAGAACTTTTTCCTAACCATCTCTTCATTTAAATTAACCAAATAGTTTTTACAAAAAAAAAGTGGTGGGAGAATGGATTTAATTCCTTGAAGGAATCTGCCAGTAAAAAGTAGATCATTTTCAGGTAAGATAATTTTCAGTCCTCTGGGGCATCCCCAAAGCCTCCTGCACGCACCCTGGCAGGCTGTGGATAGTGCACGAGTCTCTATCTGCATCAAACATTTATTGAGGCTGACAAGCCAAAGCCCTTGGCACAATTTAATTTTCACATAACCACTTTGCATTGTCCAGCTGCAGGCAAAGGAAATGAGCAGTGGAAGTTCTGAAGTCTACTCCTGCACCCTCATTTCCTGATTTTATTTCTTTTACTTTATAAATGTATTCCGTACCTGTTCCGTAGAGCTTGCTCTAGCTTTCCTTTTAGTGCCAACTGGAAAAAGAGAGTTGGCTTTACAGGCACTGTGGATTAGGAGCCAAGCTTGACTCTGTCCCAGGGAGACAAAAAGGGAAAAAGTTACCTCCACCAGAACCCCAGAAAGCAATCAGACATTCCCTGTGTGCCGTGAGCGAACAGATGGGGATCGGTGTTTGCAGCGATGTTCAGTGTAATTCAGCAGATCCTCCCGGCGCAGCTGTGGTGGCCAGGCCCTGTGCCAGCTACAGGGGCAGGAAGGATAAAGGAGGCAGGGCTCCGCCCATGAGGGGCTTCTGGTCTTGTGAGCTGTTGGGATGTTCCCTTCACAGTGCCAGAGGCTGTCCACGAGCAGTCAGGACTGCTAGACAATGTTGGGGTTGAGGGAGGCAGGATAACTTGCGTTAGCAGTCATCCCGCCGTAAGTCAGGTGGTCAGGGTAATTCTGGGCGCCCTGACATGCATCACGGAGGCAGACTGGGGAGTTCTCTAGGGAAATGAGCAATGAATGCTCCCCTAAGTGCTCCTCAATTCTAACCAAGACTGACTCAGTCCACTTATAGATGAAAGCCAGTCAGCCTGCCTGCCAGGCAGAAATAACATGGCTGGCAGCTGAGATTCAGCGAAACCAAGCCAGAGGAAGCAGCCAGTGGGCCTCCACAGATAGGAAGGGCGATGCAGGAATGGGGCTAGTGTGAGCCAGCCTGATGTGAGGGAGCCCCTCGGGGGCCTAAAGTCAGAGCTGGAGAGCAAGGAGGGGACAGCCCAGGGGAACCTGCCGAGGGCTCACACTTGATGCTGTAGGGCAGTGGTTCTCTGGACCGGCAGCAGCATCACCTGGGAACGTGGGAGAAATGAGAATTTTGGGCCCCACTCCAGTCCTACTGAATTAGAATCTCTGGGGTTAGGCAATCCCTGTGCTAATGATGCCACAGCAGCCCTGCTCATTTTGTAATGGGACTGGGGTATGCAGCATCACAATTCAAACACAGATTGGATGGGGAAGGGATGGCTTTGCTTGGAAGGGCAGTAATTCATTCTGGATGTTACCAACAGTGGAAAATAAAGAAACAAACAGAAACCTGCAGCCCGATCTGCAATCTGAATCTGCCTGGGCCCTCTCATTCCAAGGCCTCCAAAGCTGCCAGGCCCCACCAATGTCTTTATCCCTGACCTCCTAGATGCCTGAGGTTCCCCATTACTGACTCACAGCTTAAACTCTGTGAAAGTCCCTGGACTCTTGGGAGGAACTCACTGGCACTTTATCTGTCACTTACACATTTGTAGTGCAGCAACTCCTCATATAAGGGTTTTGAGATTGGGAGTCAGAGGGCCAGGGCACTGGGCCTTAGGCTGGAAGGACAGAGGAGGAACCGTCTAGGAAGGAGCCCAGACACATGTCCTGGGAGAATTATCACCTGCTCTTGTGTCCTAAGAACCCGGACTCTCTCTTGCTCAGAGCCTCAGCAGTCTCTGCACCAAAACCTCCCGAGTGGCCTAAAGGGACCCCTTTGTTTCTCTAGCCCACCCTGGGAAAAGATCTTCTAATTAAATGCCTATCCAATCTCCTGAGACCCACACAGAGATCATATTGTGAATAACTCATCCAAGAAGTTAGAACCCACTGCAAAGAAAGAATAGAGCTTACAGCTGTTCACCTAAGAGCATGGGGAAAGCCACGCCCAGGAGCTTTCCTGGACAGCCCGCCTCCCTGAATCCTCTGATGGCACATGCCTCTCCCAAGGCTTAGGGCAATGTTATGTTAGTCATTCATTACAAAAGCCTCCTGGGTGACACAAGGACACAGGGTGGGATGGCAGGCAGGGGTGACCAGTCCTTCGATAGTTCGATAGATAGGAGAAGCATGAGGCCTGTTCTTGTTGGCAGGCAGGACAATGTCAAAGCAGGCAGGACCGTATAAGGGAAGGCAGGACAGGAAGTCCTTATGTACAGAAGGTCAGGAATGCAGACCCAGGCAGGACAGCAGTTGGGGGGGCAATGAAGGGCATTCCTTGGGACACACGAGGTGATGACCAGGCAGGCAGCAGCAGCCATTTACATTTGTCAGAAACAATGGAGAGAACCTCATTCTGACACCAGGCTGGGGGTCTCCTGGCTCCCTCCTGGAGCCATCTCCCCGTTCCAGGAGCAGAAAGGAGCTGGAACCTCTGGGCCATTGAGGCAACACATCTCCTAAGTCAGGGCCCCACCCCATGAGAACTTTTAGCCGAATTCAGTGGAACCACACTCCTCCCTTCCCAGGCCCCTGGAGCTGTGCTTGTGTGAGGCCAGTCCAGCTCTCCAACTCCTGGCGCCCCTGCTGCCACAGGCCACCTCCCGAAGGTGAGCAGGTACTGACACAGCACCCAGGGTGGGCACTGCACCCGGCCCACAGCAGGCGCTCCACAAATGTTGAATTGAATTGAATCCCAGAGGTCATTTGACCTCAATGAAAAGATTCAGTTTAAAACATTAAGATCCCAGCCAGGCACGGTGGCTCACACCTGTAATCCTAGTACTCTGGGAGGCCGAGGCAGGCGGATTGCTCGAAGTCAGGAGTTCGAAACAAGCCTGAGCAAGAGCAAGACCTCTGTCTCTACTATAGATAGAAAGAAATTAATTGACCAACTAAAACTACATATAGAAAAAATTAGCTGGGCATGGTGGCGTATGCCTGTAGTCCCAGCTACTCGGGAGGCTGAGGCAGAAGGATCACTTGAACCCAGGAGTTTGAGGTTGCTGTGAGCTAGGCTGATGCCACAGCACTCACTCTAGCCAGGACAACAGAACAAGACTCTGTCTCAAAAAAAAAAAAAAAAAACCATTAAGATCCCCCAATGGAGAAAGACTCTCCACCTTCTCTATCGGTATGTAAGTCAACGTCCTTTATGTCATCAGATCAACAAGGAATGGAGTGCAGTGGACAGAAGACAACATTATTGCTGCCTTTGAAAGAGAACAGGAGTGGGGTTGTTTTCACAGTAACCCCTCACTAGCCCCTAAGCAAGGAGCCCCTAAGGGGGAGCTGGGCCACAATGGGCCCCAGGTGCTCTGCCCTGGGGTGGGCAGAGTCCCCACAGAGCACAGAAAGCCCTGATTTGTTAATGACCTGGCCCTGTGCCGCTCCCCAGTCCCTTTTATCAGATTTACTGCGGAGGAGATTCATCAACAT